TTGACTCATAATAGTTGTCACATTTAGTGTATAAAATGTATGAGACAGAGGTAGTAATATTTTCTAAAAAAAAAAAAAAAAAATATCCAATGTATATGTGATAATGCATAAAACATTCACTGGTATTTTTATAAAACACTTATAATTTTAAAATATGTTCCTACCTATCTAAAGAAATGGATACTTCAAATTAGTTACCAATATTAGGACAGATAAAAAGAAAACAGAACAGAAACACTAATTATTAAATAGATCATTGTATAAGTCACTGCAAAGGATAAAAGTTTGGTTTCTATAGAACAAAGTCAGTTTAAAGTTGCTATTCAAGTATTCAAATGAAAAAACAATGGAAACAATTGGTCAGCAGAGAAATTGGAGTTTAAAAAAAGTTTAATGCTGCTAAAGTTTTGAATAAGTAACTTGTCCAGCCACATACCAGTTACTTCCTTGTTTGTTTTGTTTGTCACTTGCAGATCATTTTTCTACAGGTGTTACTTGGGATTTCATAGCAGGGATTCCATTTAAGTGGAAAAGAAACATCAAAAGTAATTTGATACAAACAATTACACAAATGGCAAATTGACACAAAGTTTTTTTTTTAATACACAGCACCATTTTGCTCTTTACGCTTTTAAATAAAAATGTATTTTAAAAACTTTTTTTTTTAAACTGGAATCAAAATTATAAATGCTCTATTTTTAATATTAAACTATAAATTTCATTCTTCTTATATTTACAAGGATAGATCAATAAGTACATAGCCCAACATAATTATTAGCTGAAATTCTCACTGTACAATATTCATTATTTACATTATTCGGACTATTGTCCTCATCTTTGTCGCCATATTTATCACAATGTTTCAGCCGTTGTATGCTCCGGCCTTCTTCAGGTGGTTGGAATTTCGAACTGAACCCTTTATTTCACTCACTGGGGTAGACTGTTCAAGTTCCATGTGTCATGCTTGATGGATGTCAGTTATCAGTTATCTCTTGCTAATTTCCCTCTGAAAGTTCTCCACTGCCTTAACCGGGTATTGAACTCACACTCTTTGGGTCCTGTCACTGGATCTAATTAACACCTTTATCCACTGTGCCATGTGTCTTGGAAAAAAGAGGGAAATTAGCAGGAGATAACTGATAACTGACATCCATCAAACATGGCACATGGAACTAGAACAGTCTACCCCAGTGAGCGAAATAAAGGGTTCAGTTCGAAATTCCAACCACCTGAAGAAGGCCGGAGCGTACAACGGCCGAAATGTTGTGATAAATATGGCAACAAAGATGAGGACAATAGTCCTAATAATGTAAATAATGTACATAATACCTCATCTCAGAAATATAGACAGACTCTGTACAATATTCGTTCTAAAGACAAGCACTGGGTTAAGTGCATTAACAAAAAAGAAGACTATTGAAAAATAAATATCTATTATGTAAAATAAATGTTTTTTTTTATCATTTTACTGACAAACATGCATAATCATAGATTTTATGTACACCTCCTTTTCCCATTTATTATTTGTCAGTAACACTTTCATTAATTCCTGACCCCTGACAATCCCTTTCTTCTTGATTTTCAATATGCAACACACAAATTGAGGTCTAAATCTTGTTAAAGCAAAATTCATTGCTTAATCATCAGATTCATTTTCCCTACCATCAGAAATATTTATTTACAGTTGAACTAATGTCCTCATCTTTGTTGTTACTGTCATAACATTTTAACTATTGTGCCTTACAACCTTCTTCAGGTGTCTGTTGATTTTAGTAAATGTTTAGTTTATTAGTGTAAAAGAACCAAAAAAGCAAAAAGAAATGACTACAACTAAATACAGGAGCAACTGAGTACAAGTCACGTAGATAGCAATAGAAAAAGGTGAAAACTTTGTTTACTTACTTTTATTTTGCTTCCCCCCTCTCTAATGTTCTTTCAGACTCCTTTATCATCTGTAAATTGCTATAACTTCTTTGAAACCATAGTGGAGGGGTGTTCTGTTGCTTCCTCCATGAGTTGGAATTCAGTTTTCCTTCTCATAGACTTATTACTACCCAAGGCTAGTCTACTGATATTTAACCCATAATTGTGTTGCACCTTGATCGATTCGTACAAAGTGGATGCAATGGACTAGGCCATAATTTTAACTCTGCTTGTCAATTTTGCTTTCCACACTGATATCAGTTACACTACCAACATACCACTGTCTACTTAATCTGATTCAAATGCAATTGTGCCATGTATTTATTCTTTTACTTTTTCTTTGGCAACACCAGAATTTGCTATGAATCAACAATTAAAGTTGATGTCACAGGTTACATAAACTGCTAGTTAAACAATGTTTTTCTTATCACACATATATGTTTAAAATTAATGGTTTTATTGATGACATCTTTATTGTATAGGAGGAAGAAATATAACAAAATCCAGTTTCTCACCACCATACTTTATCAATAAAACCATTATTACGAAGAAGTCCTTTTGTGGGAAGAAACACATAAGTCATAAAAATCATAAAATTAGAATTACAGTTATTACTTACATACATTCAAAAAAAATTTGATTATAAATGTGATCATAATTTCAAATCACATTATAGTGTTTTTTTTAATCATTTCACCCCCAAGCAAGGTAATAAAGCCACTAAGATGCAAGAGGTTAGTGAGTGTGAGAAAATATGAGAAAATACTATTAAAGAGAGAGAACATTAAAAGAACAAGAATTTAGAAGACAGTAGATAATGATTGACATTGCATTCAAATTTTTAAAGATGGAAGTTGATTGGGAAGCAAGAAGCCGAAAAAGTGTTCCACAAGAAAAAGAGAAGTGTGGTAGAAGAAACTTAACATAGAACTTAGTTACATTTAGCCATTTCCATTATGAAATAATGAAACCTTGCTGCCAATCTAGTACTGCACTTACATTCAGGTCTAGGTATCATAGCGGGAAGTTCATCAGAATAGTTACCATGAAAGTGTTTATAGAAAAGACACAGAAGCTATATTATGGTAGTGGGAAAGTAACTGAAGGTGAGATGCCAGGTCAGGACCAATAACATTGCAGATTATTCTTTTGATTTTTATCAAGAATCCCTAAATATATAACAGGAGCACCAGGCTAGGTATAGCAGCAATATTCAAATAAAGGTTAGGTCAACAAAAATCCTTCTCATCACAAATTCCTTGAGATTTTCATATCTGCTCAGTTTATCATCTAAACAAAGTAATTTTCTAAAGTTTTTTTTAAATTTTTATTTATTAATCCAACAGGTTTTTTATTGCTTTAAATGTTATTTTAGTGGATACACATATTTAGATCAATAAATAAAAATTCATTACTTTAGAAAATTACTTTATTTATGTTTGGATATGAAAATTTCAAGGAATTTGTGATGAGAAGGATTTGCTTAAAAGCACTTTTCAAACTTTGCTTGATTGTCAAGGCTGCTTTGTGGCCAAGTCAGTTAAGTCATATTGGATTTAACAATGGTTTCCCACTGCCCAGAGTAACTTGGATATATTTTTCTTTAATAAGATTTCTTAGTTATCCAGGCCGAAGGATGAAAATAGATAAATATACTGTTAAATAAAAACAACATTTAAAGTAATAAAAAAATCTGTCAGATTGATAAATAAAAATTCATTACTTTAAATATTACATAATTATTATTAATATTATTATTATATCTATCATACCATTATCAATACTATTCAGCTGTACTTTTTGTTTCTAATATGATAATGATGACTACAAATATTGAGAGTCTGTCATCTTTCCATGATCAATATATATATGTACCCATGCCATCAAAAATGACAGTAATTGTTAGCAAGTTTTTAATAGTGAGATGCAATGAAACAAAAATCTTGAAACATTGTAAAGATGGCAATGTCTAAGCCTATTTCAAGACTAAGTTGAAGCAAGATGATCACTTAATGGACAAAGGTATCTGTGTGCCCCACATGAAAGGTTTGAAATAAGACTGCAATCTAAGAAATGTAGGAGCAATTAAATGGTTTATATTGCCCAGGAACTAATTTTATCCCAATGCAGATAAATATTTTATTTGTATAGATTATTAAAATAATCAAGAGAAGTAATAACTCATAGATTTACTAACTTAAGTTGATTTGCCTCCCTTCCCATTACAAATGTGATATGTAATATATAAATAAATACACATTGATAATTATTATACAGTTTGAAATCAAATGCAATCATAGATTTATCTGGAGAAAATGCAATACATGAAGTTAAACTTTCTTCATTCTGTTGCTCATGCTCCATTAATTATATTATTTCATCCTTTTGTTAATTTTTCCTTCAAATTCTTCTTCTAATCATTCCAATGAACCAGAATATATTGATTACAGGACTTGACCCAGTGGTTAAATTTGATCTTCTGCCCCTCATAATGCTCTTATAGCTCAATCAGTAAAATAACTCAGGCAGTTAATCAGGTTTTCTGAATCAGGGAAATGAGAGTTCAAGCCTTGCAAAGAGTTTATTTCATATTTGTTTTGTTAATGCATGCAGACTGACAGTGAATAAAATTAAAATTATAGAAATACTATAATGATTGACAAACAACTTTATTTCAGCTTTTTGCATCACTCATGAAATAACACTAAATTTCAGTGGAAGCTAAATTCGTTCCCCTAAAAAGACAATAACTCAAAATACAATTGAGTTACTTCACTTGTCTGTGAAGACGAGCATGCCACTTCTGAATTGAACATGGCAACCAGCTGACATGCATGTGGAATTTATTGTTTCAATCCATGCTACTCTTGCTGTTTTCAGACAGTGAATGAAAATGTTATTTTATTATGTTAAAATACACTTGTCTTATTTTCATTCATTTTTGTTCATTCCAACAGCCTGGGATATAACAGTCTCATACACAAAGTATTAAAAAATTATATCAGGACAACACTATAAGTAACAATGAAACCTTTATTTTTAATAACCTAAGGAGTAAAGAAGACCAAGTTACTTACATATGCATTACTTGCTGTTAGCCATGTTGGTTCCACAGCTCGGCGTGTCACAGTACCTGCTTGAACAATTCTTGGAATTATTGCACCATATTGCTTTACTTCTAAATAGTCTTTGTGCCTTAATAAAAAGAAAAATATTAATTTAGTTTCATTTCTATTCAACAACTTCTGGCAAAATGAAAGAGTTAAATTTATAGGAATTGGAAATTTTAGCTTGAAACACTTCATTATAATCAGTCAGTTATGTGCCATACATGATACACACTTAGACGATCATGCATCTTTCGATACATGACTGACAAGGCAGATTTTGTCCCACGGTAGGTTACCATTTCTTTCTGCAGTAGACCAGTTGCCATCCAAGGCTATAGAACCTGGTCTTTCCTGCTACTTACCCATAGCTGAGGGGAGAAGAAGAGGAGTCATATCTTTCCCAAGGGTAATAGCATGTAGGTGAATGTAATGGATTCGACTGGAATTCAAACTCGGCTCTCCAATTCCTCAATCCGAGCCGCTATCCATTACTCCACTGTGCCTCATTATAATAATGAACTGATAAAAACAAGATAAAATAAATTAGAAAAACATTTAATATACTAAGCACTAATTTTTGCTTGAAAAGCAAGTAAGGATAAAATAACAAAATAACAGAACTAACAAATATAAAATAGCCCCAACAAGGACAGCAGAAAGAGAATAGTCTATCCCTGTAGACTAAGTAAAGATTTGGTTAAAATATCTATGCTTCTGAATACAACTAGTATCTAAAGAAAGTTGGTTGGTACAACAGCTAAAATGTAACTTTAACAACCAAGACGAAGACAATAAATCAATCTATGAAGGTAAACTGTCCTCATTCTATGGCTCATACTCCTTTAATTATATTATTTTCTCCTTTTGAACTTTTCCTTCTACTGCTTCTTCTACTTGTTCCAATGAACCAGAATATATTGATTCCAGAATTTGACCCAGCGATTGAACTCATGACAACAAGGCAAACTGGAATGCTTACCTAATGCTAATATCCACAAATCCATAAATTTTCTGTTCCAAATGTGAAGAATATACAGCAAATACTTGAATAAGATTGAATAGTACAATGGCTGAAATATTGTGGTTATAACAACCAAGATGAGGACAACAGTGTGAATAAATCAGTTCAAAGAAACAGAGTGTCCTCATTCCACTGTTTATTCTAGAAGATATCTCATATTAGCTAAATCATTCTAGTGGCAAGATACAAGACATGTATGTGGAGATAAAGGCCTTTCAGATCACTGAAGATTGCTTCACTGAAGTACAAAAATGATGACCAGGCAGTTCAGCTTCAACACTTCTGCCTTGTCACACAACCACCAGATCATCAAACACCTCACCGGTATCAATTTCAACCCTGAAAAACAACACTACACTTGGCTTCACTAATATGCTCCAGACCTATGTCTTAACCCCAACAGTGACCTCAGACAACCAACCCAAGAAATTGATCAACTCCTGCCCTTACCAACAACACTCTTACACTTAATCACTTTCCTTACCAACAGCAACTAAGGAACCATGTATGAAAAATTTTTGCCATCTTTCACACAACTATGTACATACTCTGAATTTTGAGTAATACACATTGAAATCTTAATTCTAGTTTGTTCCTTTCCTTTGCAACCAAACACTCATTATAACAACTGGTGTCAAGATCATGCAGCAAGGGAAATGGATAAAAAAATAAACAAAATATCATCTGTGTGACTTGTATTACTGGAAATGGGCCAATATACTTTCTTATGAACAAGAGAGTTGGAAAATATAAAAGGGAATTTGATCACCATTACCCTGACTATGGTGCTATAAAGTCTGAGGGTAATGCTCACAACTTGTTGGACACTTGCTTCCAAAAAGCAACTCCCAAAACCTTGATTCTTATCAGAAATAACAATATATTTCCTAACAAATGAAATGGCCAAGAAATTTGTATAGCAATTTTGGAGGGAAAAGTCCACGATATTTTCTGAGCTTCCTCATCCTCATAAATATGCATAATTTATGCCTGTTTGGCAGTGAGTATTCAGCCATCGTCCGTGACAAAGGTCGGTGGCAGAAAAGCAGTCATCTTCAAGAAAGAACTACCTACTTTGGACTGTCGAGAAAGAACATCAACCTACTACTAAAAACCAATTGAGATCTGCCTCCTTGCACCTAGAAGATATCTGTCACCTGCCTACAAACTCACTCAACTACGAAATTCATATCTTCCAATAGTTTCCACCTTTACAAGAACTCTGAACAAATCTGTGAGTGTTTTAACCTTTAAATAACAATCTACTACTCACTTAAAGAACTTTTAGGCACTCAGAGAAATATTTTGAGCAAGCCTTTTCCTTTTTATGAACACTTTTTCTTCCTTTAAAGTTAAAGGAATTTTCTTCTCCCTTTCTTTCTCTTGTACCCTTTCTTTTTGTGCATGCAAATAAACATTTTCTTCTTTTATTGTTACACACCGAGCAGGAGTTTAAGTCTTTATTCTTCCACCGGAAAGAGCCACGTAAAAATAGAGAATTGTCTGCTCTAATTTTTCAAGCCATTGTTGCTTTTTTTTCAATTTTGTCCCATTTTTAACCTCAACCCTTTCATGTGGAAAAGCCAGGACAAATTTCCCATACTATTTTTTAAATCTTCAAAACTGTTCTTTGAATGATAATGACTTATCACAAAACTACATTCAGTAGCTTTATCTGATTATATGCATATATGAGAATAAAAATCTTATATCTTCTGCATTTAAAATCTATAGAGTAACTTAAATTATAATTTCAAACTAAAATACATTAAAAAAAATACTAAAGAAATCAATATAACAAAAACAGAATAAAATGGAACTAATTCCTCATTGAAAGTTATTAGTTACAAATTAACAGAATTTGCTTCACATTAACATGGATATATATGTTAATGTTTGCAAAATGACCATATATCATTGAAAAGTGACCTTGGGTAGAGGGCAGAATTTTTTTCACTATATTCTGTTCACAATAAACAGACTACAATGACATTAATCAACGCATTCATCACAGGAAAGGCTTCCAAACAAACAAGTAATGTTTTCTCATTTATCATTTTTTTGCAACTTACCTGATGACAGATAGAGGTAGCTCTGCTTTTTTTGCCCAAACAACCATTTGTGATCTAAAATAAATTAATAGACAACCAGTTTTTTTTTTCTTGTTGTATATTGTACATTTCAATTTTTGGCAACTCAGTATTATATAAGTTAGAAAGAAACAAATGTTAGTATGAAGAAATTAACTAAATTTAATATGTCTAAGTTGAATCATATTTAATATCAATATGACTGTCAGTTAATTTCTGAGATGAGGTACTATTATTTCCGTTTGGACTAATGTCTATCATTGTTGTTATTATCACAACATTTCAACCATTGTGCCCTATGAGTTTTGTCAGAGTCATATCAAACTAGGTAAGCTTCAGGGAATTTCAAACTGAATCATTAATTTGATCTATGAAAGTAAATTGTTCTGATTCCACTGCCCATGTCTAGTGATATCTTGTCTTTTTCAGGACTACTCAGTTAGTAGTCATCCTGATTCCACGGAGAGCGAAAGAAAATAAGAAGACTTTAAAAAGAGCTGGAAACCAAATCTTAAACAGGAAGCAAGGGATAAATCTCTATTCCTGTTCAAAAAACCAGAGAGGAGTGTGAACCATACAATAGACAAACATATCTACTCCTATTAAGGAAATAAATAAATAACAAATAAACAGAAAATTAAATTTCAGTGTTTAGGCACAGACATTAGAAATATAGAGTTGAAGTAGACTTTAGCAAAACCATTCAAGAGATCAGAGTGGATAATGGAAGTGAAAAAGAATGAGAAGACTTTAGAAGAAACCCAGAAGCCTAATCCTAAACACAAAACAAGGGATAAATCTCTACTCCTTGCAAGTTTAATCCATGGGTCAGGCAGTGTGTACTTGCACTCAGTAGAAATGGACTGCTAAATAAAATAAAAACTAGATGATGTCCCTAGACATGAGCAGTGGAACAAGAACAGTCTATCCCTATAGATTAAATAAAGAGTTCAGTTTGGAATCCCCTGTAGGTTACCCAGATTGATATACACCTGAGGAAGGCTAGGGGCACAATGGTTGAAATGTCATGATGAAAACAGCAAAAATGAGGACAATAGTCTGAATATATATAGTGTAAACATCTACCCCTGTTCAAAAAAGTGAGGAAGTGTGTGAACCATACCTACCTATCAAACCTATCTACTCTTATTGAGGAAAAAATAAATAACAAATAAATAATAAATAAAATTCCAGAGATCAGGTGGAGATGTTAGAAGTATAGAGTTGAAGTAGACTTTAGAAGGAACCTGAAACCCAATCCTAAACAGGAAACAAGGGATAACCCTCTACGCTTGTTCAAAAGATCAAGAAGCTGTGGATGGTTTAGTTTGTCTAACAGCATATCAACTCCTTATGAGTTATTTAATGCCAAAATTTTATTTTCTTGTGAACTTTGATAATTTTTTTTCAATGTATTGCTAGTAATTTTTCTAATGTATTTTTATGTTTTGATCCCAATTTGGGTGTTCACTATTTGCCTATAGGTAGGACCCTAAGAGATGCTCCCACCCTGGATCAGGGTGGACTTTAGAACAGCAGCAGTTAAGAAGTGGTTCCACACTCCTTAAAATCTCTCAAAGAGAAGCCTTGCAGAAGAAAGAAGCTGTGGGGAGCCATGACCAATTATGTCATAAATTCCTTAAAGCATTGCACTAGACAAAACTGGATTTTGTACATGCCATGTCAATATTAAAAAAAAAGATATTACGAATAAAGAACAAGGAAACTATTTGAACAAAATAATAGAATAATAAACTTTAAGAACTGATAAGATTTGTAGTTCTGAAAAAATACATTTATGATTAAACTGAACTCAATCATTTTTCCATTAAAGTAACTGTGAATATATTGGATGGTTCCTGTAGTCAAGACAAATTGCTCTTTTGTATTGCTTTTTTTCATTCAATTTATTGAATTAAATTAGGAATATCTAAATTAAACTTGCACAGTTTCTTTTTCTACTGCCATATTCCTTTAGTACATAGCCGCTCATGGCTCCCCAAAACTTCCTGTTCTTTGTAGCTCTAAGTAAGGCTTATATTTTTGCTATTTCTCCTAATCTCTGTTCTATCAATCATTTAAACAAGCTTTTTAGGTAGGTTATTCTTTTTTCCCCTCTTGCCTTTAATATGTCCTGTGAATATCAAATGTTTCAAGTCTTCTTTCCTCATTATATGTTCTAGAAATTTCAACTGTCACTTTTTGATTCTAAGCATAAATGTCCTTTTTGATTTCATTTTCCATAAAACTTCCCCATTACACACATGTTCAATCCATAGCTTCTCAGTATCCTGTTGTAGAACCACATTATAATTCTCCATGTGTTTTTTATCCATCTGCTTGTCATTACATAATAATAGCTAGAATTATAATCACCAGATTTTCTGTTTGTAGTATAAGCAATTATAATATCCATTTTCCTCTGAATGCAGATGAAGAGATGAACTAGAGGCAGAATTCAAGTGCCCTATGAGGCTGGCATCCCGCTCCCACCCTTACACTGTAGAAACTTTTAAATGTAGCCGTTTCTTCTACTCCAATAGCTTCATACCTCGCACCTCTCACCTGTGGAACACCCTTCCCAATTACTGTTTCCCTGAGAGCTATAATCTCCAACTATTCAAATGTAATGTCAATCGACATCACCAGTTACCTTGATCTATCCACTATCCCTCTCCTCCTCATCCTTTCTTCTATCACTCCTATCTACTCTTGCTCCTAATCTTCTGCAACCCCGTGCATCCTAGTGGCTTCACGCCTTGCTCAGGGCATAATGTTAAAAAAAAAAAAAAAAAAAAAAAAGAAAAGAGAAACGTGATTTTATGGAAGGATGCTGAGAATATCATGGATGGAACATGTAAGTAACAAAAAACTGAAAATAAAAAGGATACTTATATTCAGAATGAGAAAGATAAGTGAAATTACATAGACACATAATGAAGGTTTGGAAAATGTGCCAATCATGGAATATATCAAAGACAAAAGGACAGGTTAAAGCAGCAGGCCACCTACCTGATGAGCTTGTATGAATGGATAACTGAATAGTGGGTGGGAATCATGGTAAAAAGACAAATGTTACTAACAGTTACAAGAGAGAGGAGTTTTCTGGAGACCCATGATTAGTCATGCCCTGATGGGACATGACACATGGACGAAGTATGAGCAATGGACAGCCATTTGCCATATATGTCCTCACAAAACATAGTTCTGTGGTATTCCTACATTTATTGCTGCAATAAAAAGTGGAACAAATAAATTTATGGACATTTGCATATTTTCATGAAATCTCCCAGATATTTAAATTAAATATAATCCAAGATTTCACAGTGATGATTTTTAAATAAGGAAGGAATCAAATCCATAATCTCTTATTGGAGACAAAAATCTCATTTAGACCTTCTGCAAGAACAAGCTAAAAATCTTGCTTATAGGGTGGGTTTTCAGACAGTTTACAGAAGGTCATTTTTAAATAAAAGTACCTGAGAAGAAAATTAACTTTTATAACTGCAGAAATGTAATAGCATTAAAAATAAAATAACAAAAAGTGGCTATTTACTCAATTCTTTGTTGGTTGTTTTTCCAGTATGAACACATTTTGTTAATACGTAGAGCAGCATCAGCAGAGTCATTTCCAGCAAAAGCCATTAAAGTTCCATCTCCAATTTTATTGATGTAATCTTTGGCTAAAGGATTCCCAACTCTCTTGGATTTACCATCCTGAGATATGAAAGAAGGTAAAAATAAAATTATTTAAAAAAAAAAAAAGATGAAAATAACATAAAAAAGAAAGAATAAAAAATATGCATCATAATGTATTTGCCCACAAACATTTACCTTTTTTTTTTTAACACAAGACATTACAACTATTTTTAAATCATTTCACCCCAAGCAAGGTAACAAAGCTACTAAGATGCAGGGGGGTTACTGAGATAAGAAAGAGAAAAACATTATTAAGCAGAGAGAACAATAAAAGAACAGAAATTAAGAAGACAGAAGATAACGATTGACATTGCATTTATATTTTTGAAGATCAAACTTGACTAAAAAGCTGAAAGAGTTCTACAAGTGAGAAGTGCAAGAAAAGAGACTTATCATAGAACTTATCATTACATCTAGCAGCTATTTCAACTGTAAAATGATGAGATCTTGCCACCAATCTAGTACTGTGCTTAAATTTATTTCCTCCAAAAAGTATTTTATTTATTAATTACTCTGAATTATGGTATACAATGTGACATTTTTATTATTACTAACTAGAAATAGCCATGAAAATTTCAGTTTTCCTATTTGAATTTTGTGATGAATCTTAATTCTTAAGTTAATGATTGAATAAGCTCATGGCATGACAATAAAATATCTGTAGAAATTTCTCTGCCACACATTTGAGTTTAATAACTTTAACAAAATATTGCAATAACAATGAAATATGAATGCTGGTCATTATTTAAAGAAGTAAGGAGTACAAATGAAAAGATTTGAAATTGACAATATTTTCCATTTCACTGAAACAGACATTAAACACATGACAGTGTTATCACCTCTTCTATCTTCTCTTCATTCTTTCTTTCTTTCTTTCTTTCTTTCTTTCATTTGTTCACTAAAACCAAGCAGTGTCTCTAATGTCTTTTCTGTCTTTCCACATGACTAAAACAGAATAGTCCATTATTTATGAGTCATTGGGAGGGACAAGTAGAATTATTATAATAATAATAATAATTTTTCAAATATTATTTCTTTCAGCTGAACACCATTTTAGCAAGCAACACAGATACAAGAATAAAGCATAAGACTATAGTGATATTAAAAAACCTATGTCCCTTATTCTTGGAAAGCTTTTCTTAATAAAAGAGTTGCATTACCAATTATGCTTGACCATGGAAACTTATAGCAGACAGTCATTTCAAGTCTAACCAAATAGTCATTCTTTATCTTTCCTGAATATCTGATATATCACCAGCTTTACTTACCTATACTAATACTAGGAGTAGTAATAGTACTATATTTTAACTTAGGTGAAGAATTGTCAAGTATTAATTATTCAACTAGTATTTCTTTTATCACAAATTCAGTTGCTTTTTATTGCAACTCTCTGTTGTCTATAAGTAAGCAATGCAAACCAAAAATAAATAAAAAACAATATTTCTGATTATACTCCTAATGTATATAAATATGGATAGCAAGATATATGTAGTCATGAAAGATAAGGAATGTCTACATCATTAGATTTGAATGATTTCAGCTGGTATTTCTTTATGGTTTAATTGATAAAGCATCTGTTGTATTAAGACAGTGTTCCAAAGGAAAAGGGCTATCAGTGAATGTTATTCTGTCTTTCTGATCAGTGTTACTAATGGCAATAAAATGATAGCTTGAGAGTTGAGATAAAAAGCAACTGAAGTTGAAAGAGATATTAGTCAAAAAGGAATAATAATTGACAGTTTTTAAAATCAAATAAATAATAACATTTTAAGTCTGAAATAAATCTTTCTGAAACCAAGAGTCAACTTAAATACTGAGTCTGTGGAGGTTGAAGAAAATTGGTTTTCACATTAAAAAATGAATGAATGCTGAGTGAACATTGTTTTGGAAGGTTTATTTTATTTTTTATGAATACAAATTGTAGCCTTCTTGTATAACAGTTTGTAATTCACTGTACACTTGAACAGTGAGACTTAGAGAGTGAGACTCCTCTTTCTTTGTAACAGACAGTCACTCTGTTTAGAACTTTGCTGATTAGCAAAGACGACCAGCCTGTTCTGCTTTCTGGCAAAAAGGTAGAGAGAACTAACTTCAAAGCCCTCTTTTCCTGGGTTTATATTGAGGTCATTAAGTGGCTGTGGAATGCAGTGAGTGAACGTAGGATTGTCCTTCACTTTGATACAGGGTTATTGATCTGGTTTAAGAAACAAAGTTAGCTGATTGACCTGTCCTTAAGAATGCTGGTGTTAATGTTAATGAGGCATTAAGGAGATGGTAAGTCGGTGATGCTTTTCTGGGGATTTAAGAAATTTTTTATTTTATTATATTTATCAAAATTTGCCTGCTGCTACTACAAGTCTGTGAATGTGAACCTTTACCAAAGAATTGTAAATAAATGAAATTGCCTCCCTAAAACTAACTGAGTTACTTATTCTAACTCCAGCAGGTTGCTTTCTATATTTCCTGCTAAAACACATGACTAAAAAAAAATGATTTTTAATTAGAGATCATAATAAAATAATAAAAATGCAATATACATAAATGAACACTTCATAACAGAGCATTTACGACATCTAATTCCTCAAAACAATCAAATGGGTGAAGATATTTATTATACAACGAGTACAGCCAAATATTTGATTTGATTTTTATACTAAAAGTCTTTATGTCAATACCAGCTTAACTTGTTCTTTGCAATTTATAATTTAAAAAAATGTTTATTGCATGAAAATTTGGTGTGTGTGTGTATATATATATATATATATATATATATATATATATACACACAGACACAAAGTGGGTGCGATGGGTAAATTGTCGCCTTTTAATATTTTTCATTTCACACATGCACAGTGTTTTTGATTTTAACTGCTACTCAGTTTAGTAGGGCCAATTGGGCACCATCTATGAGAAAAAGAGCACCATGACACAATTCATCCCACTAGAAATTTGGAAACAACAGGCCGCACTGCTTGACATTCACACTAGAATCTCCAATATGAACATTTCAGAGTGTTTGTGTATCAGTCTGAGGACAGTGCAGATGATTCAGAAAGAGATGAGTCTAATGGTGATTACGAAAGCGTTTGAAGTGATCACAAGTGATGGCAATATTATGCCTCCATTAATCTTCCCACAGGGCCTCAGACTCAACACAGAGGCCTACATCAAGTGCCATGAGGAGGTAGTGCTGCCCTGGGCCAAGAGGATGGTTGCTTGAAGACCCTATGTCTAGTAACTAGACTCTGCACCATACCATACAAGCAGGAGGATCTAGTCATGGCTGTCAGACAATTTTTGTAACCACATCACTCCTTACATCTGCCCACCTAACTTCCTAGACTGCAACCCCCTTGATTATTACATGTTGGCCACAGTTGAGCAAGAGACCAACACCTTGTAACAACAAATATGAACTGAAGGCAAGGATTATGGCAACATTTATTAACTTAAACAAGGAGACCATCCAGAAGAATTGCAGAAGATTTAAGTCATCTGGAGGCCATGGTTGAAACCAATGGTGATTTTATTGAATAAATTTACTCTTTCTGTAAATTTGAAGATTTTCATTTTTGCATTTTGTGTAATTTTATCCATCGTAATATATATATATATATATTAAAATGAGATGTCAGTGTTATTTTCATTTTGCATAATTTAGACACAACAATTTATCCATCGCACCCTATATATATATATATATATATATATATATAATAAAACACAAATCTGTCTTTTGCATTTCTATTCATTCCTTGTTTTTCTCAAACTTTCTTTCATATCTTCTAACTTTCCTCTCTTTTGTTTCCATACCTTGCTCCTTTTCCTTGCTTTTTTTTTTCCTCTTTCTGAAACTTCCTTAATTACCCTTTCTCTCACTCTCTCTTCCTAATGTATTTAATTCTTGTATGAGCTGAACAAGAGTCAGCCAATGACTAAAGAAAGGAATAAGTAGGAAGCAGAATTAAGTGTAAAAAAAGAAGGAAATTTATATTATACTGACATAAGTTACTTATTCATTTTGTTATCATTTTCTTACTGGGTACACTGGAATAAAATGAAGCTATTTTGGAATTATCAATAATGGTGTAGTGGGACCATATATCTTACTTATTATAAAACGCAGGTTGTGTGTGTGTGTGTGTGTCTGTAACGTTTATATGTTGGATCAATTTCCTACATTTTTTTAGCCGATTTCAACAAAACTTCACAGGACTACATAAAATTACCTTTTGGTGGTTCTAATGGGGCCGAAAATGGGAAAAACACAGTTGTTTTTAATAAAATCATTTTGAAAAACACAATTAAGACACATCATTGAGAATGAAAGGGGACAACTCACCCAACGAAAATGTAAACAAAAGAGCATAGCATGATGAAAAAAGGCAGCCGAACTTGACGAAAACAAAATTTTATTGTCTAATGTTCATATTATTATTAAAGAGGAAAGATCAAAGTATATTTTGGGGTTTTTTTTACATTTTTAATCGTTCCTAGCACGTATGAAATTTTCGTTAAAAATATTTTTTTTTTTTTGGTCAAAAAAAAGGACAGATAATCATTTTCAATCATTTTTTCGATTTGATAAAAAAGATTAAAATCTTACTTTGATATTCTTTTAAAAATCAATTATCATTTTTTCAAAACTGATTTTAATAAAAACAGAAATTATACTGTTTATTTAAAATATTTTGAACCAAGCTTAACTTAGCTTCTCGCCAAAAAAAATGTAATTTGAAAATAAAACAAAGCAGGTCATAACCTTTCGCGTCGACGACGATTGACGAAAGGCACATTCATGACGTTTAGATAACTTACGGGAGGAGAATTCTTTCTACGGATGGAAGGAAGTGAAATTATTTAAGTGAACAAATTATTTACCTTGTTACTTTTAAGGAAAACTTTCAAGCGCTCTAATTTTTTATTTTTTTTAAATTTTTTTTTTTTGTACTTAGCTTTCATTTTTACGTTTACGATGCTTTATGGAAAATATAAAGAAATTAAAAAATAAGACTGTTAATAGTGAGATTAAATTTCATAAGAAAAAGGTATCTAATTAATTTAGGTACCTTTCTTAGGAAATTTTATCAGAAGTGTACATAAAATACTATAATTTTATGTACATTTATTACATTTTACTGTGTTATTTGTATTTCCATTCATTTTATTATTAATTTTGATATTTCATTTATGGAAAAAATGTCATAACTGAGATTAATATAAAAATAAGATCATATAAATTAAAGTTTAGCAGTAGTTAAATTTCATAAGATGATACTGTTACTTGTAGGTACCCTTCTCAGTTGAAATTGAAAACTCAAATTAACTTCTCCATACGTGTTTCGCAAAAGTAAAGGGCTTAACAGCGGAGAACAATGCTGAACTCAAATAATGCTACTAAATTGTATTCTGGTTGGTCTTCCGTACTTGATAATTACTGTCCGACTATAAACACAAAATTACATTTCTTAATTACCATGGTTAATCTGATTGGTCCAAATTATACAATTTTCAAAGCGCTGAGACAATGACAATCTCACACGGACATTTTGAAAGGTTGATGTTGCTTTTTTAACTAATGTTAAAATATTTTTTTAAAATTCAATTTAAACATTTTTAAAAAATCTTTTTAAAATTAAAGAAATAAGAAATAATTGTATTAAAATTCAATTTTCATTGAAAAAATTTTTTGCTTTCAGAAAATATTGTCCATATTCATAAAACAAATTAAAACAAATAAAAGCATTTGAAATTAAATAATATATTTGTTTTATTGAGTTTTTGTATGTTTACGATTTTCAGGTACGTTGGCCAAAAAAAAAAAAAAAAAAAACATGATTTGCATTCTTCAAAGCCTTGTGCTTTTAACTATTGTAATCACTAAAACCGATGGTCTTGAATTTCTAGAGTTTTTCATAAAATTAGTTATGGGGTGTTAATAAATATAAAAAAATATTTCTGCCATGACTTTAATAAAAAAAAAAAACATATTTATAATAATTTCGATCATCTGTGAATAGTTTCTGAAAGTTTCATTAACATCTGACAATTATTTTTATTTTGCAAGATTTTCTAAATTAATGTGTAAATACAAAAAAACGCGCTAAAAATTATCTATGTTATTTACTACCCTTTTTTGCGACAAAAAGAGAAACAAGGTTTTTTAAATCAAAATTTAGAATATTCTAAAAAGATGGAAAAATTTTAAAAAAATAATTAAAAAAATTTAGTCTATCCTCTTCATAAAAACATAAGCATTTTGACAATAAAATTTTGTTTTTCATAAACTTTGGCGTCTTTTTCATCAGACTATGCTCTATGTTTTAGCGATTCCGTGGAGTGACTTAGGTTAAAAAACCCAGGTTGTGTGTGTGTGTGTGTGTGTATGTTCCTTTATATATGGGATCGGATTTCTTACATTTTTCAGCCGATAAAACAAACATCGACTTTTTTTTCAGCAGGTAGTATTTCTTATTGTCTTGCACACTTTTTTCTTTATTTACATTCAGAATGCTTTAAAAAATTCCATTTACAAGACAATTGTTTATAATAAAATTCTATTCACCAATCGATAGATTCATAACGATTTAAACAATGTTTTTGTTTGAATTTGGGTTTGACCAATTCATAAAAAAAAAAAAAAAACTAATTAAGACATGCGTGTCCGTCAACCTTAAACAATAATCTTTGTCAATTTTATTTTTCAGTCTTTATGATGGTTGATACTTGATCTATCTCTTACTGTTACATCCCTGGGCAACGCCGGGCTCTACTGCTAGTATATATATATATATATATATATATATATATGTATGTAGGTACACCATTAAGTCCATAACCTAATGATAAAAAAGATTTTATATTTATTTTTCAATTTAATCTCCTTCCTTTTAAATGCACTTAATTCAGTGGTAAAAGTTAATCATATAGATTAAACATTATACATTGAAAATTTTAGATCAAAATTCAGTGAAAAATTAAGTATCCAGATCGATCCTCATATAATTTATGTTATACAGTATTTCTTTTTTTCCTTGTATTGTCAAGCAACTGTATGAATGACTTTAGGACTTTATTGGACTAAAGAGATGCTTACGCTGTGTAACTACACATGCACATGAAGGAAAGGGTATAGGGATGCTGAAATTTTAAACTTTAAATTTAATTTTTGTTCTTTTAATATGTATTTGGGTATATAGTCAAGCCAATTTCATTTAGCTTCTTTTTCTTTATCTGTCTATATTTTTACATGGTTCGGACTGTTCTCATCTTTATTGCAATATTGTTCTAGTTCCATATGCCATGCCTCTACCAGATGTCTCAGTTATCTCACTAATTCAATGCATTTATCCACTGGGTTATGTGCCCTTGAAGATATCAGTTTATGAATTTTGGGGACTTATAAACTTAATGTCTCAGTAACCATTGTTTTTCTTTTCCTTTGTTTTTATCACTTTTGTTAGTAAGAATCCCACATTGTAATAATAGATCTGCCAAGAAAGGCAAAATATTGTAAGAAACTAGACACAAATTTACTATGGATGACCTAGTGACTAAAGTATTTTCTACACACTTTTGTCTTAGTAAATTGCTTTATCTTTTAATTAAAGTAGAACTTTTTAAATCAAAATTATAGTCAGACTCATTATGGTGAGTGACTAATACATTGAGTGTGTTATTTTGTAAAAGATCCATTTTGTGTACATATATTCTTTTATTTAAATTCCTTGAGGTTTCTCCTTTGTATTCCTTGTGGCAATTATTACAGGTGATAGAGCAAATTCCTCCTTCAAGTTTTAGCTTATTATTTTGTTTTAGTAGTTGTAACAGATTTTATGTTAAGCTTAGATAAATTCTTTTCAATTGTAGTTGTGAGAGAGTTGGTTAGTAGGACAATATATTTTGATTCATTAAGTTTGTCAGAATGGTTCACTCTTCTATTTTGAAATATATTACAAACCTTTCATTTTGCATTGAATACGAAAAATCCCAAATATTTATCAGATTTTATTTAATCGCACTCAGAATTTGTAGCCATCAATATTTATATGAAGAGGAGAAATACATTGAAAATATTTTTAAGCTCTTCCAAAACACTAATTATTCAAATTGGCTAGACTATATACACAAACACATTAAAAGAAAAATTAATTTAAAAGTTTAAAATTTCAGCATTTCCTCCCATTTATGCCTTGTGTAGTTACATTAATGTAATCATCACTTTTGTTTGATAAAGCCCTAAAGGATGAAACATATCAAACAAAAAATTTTCCACTTTATTATTAATTTTTCTAACATTGTTCTGGTAAATAAAAATTTATATAATAATAAATTTATATAAATTTTTGTATAATCACTTTGCAAATCTCATGTTGAGCAGCATTAGTTGCAGGTATAATTTTTTTGTTTCAGGCTTAGGATAATACATCATAGTAGAAAAGGATGTTTTCAAATACTTGACTTTTCTTACAATTTCTTAATATTTCAAATAAATATTTACCTTGTGAGGGATTTTAAAAAAATAGGCTGGAATGTTATCAACGATAAATGGTCCTGTTCGGTCTGAACTGCCAGTTTTATTAAATTTCTGTAAAAGTAAAAAAAAAAAAATAATTGGTAACAGTTGTAAGTAGGCAGAAGTGTGTGACATAAGTTATTTCAAGAATGTACTTCACTATCAGTACTCCATGGTCCAGCAACTTCCACGATTAGCATATATTGAATTGGCCTCTATGAGTTTGTAGATACCACTAGAATTCAGTTTGGTTTCAAATTGCTGCTTGAACAGTAATCTAGCAGTTTATAAGCTGATTTGTTAACATATTGATTGCCAGCCATGAGATAACTCATGGTTAGCAGCTTCTATTATGATGCTAACCACAAGTTATCTCATTTTTGTGGTCATGCCATCAAATCTACAACCACAAGTTTTTTCTTGCTTTTGGTTTGGTTTAGTTTGGTTTGATTTTGTTTTCGGCATATCAACCTTAATGGGTTATTTAATACCGACAAAATTTTTATTGCTGGTAATATTTTGTTTTGTCAAAAATCTATTTCTGGTAATATTTTTCCTTCAAAAATGTATTGCTGGTAATATTTAAAAAAAAAAATGTATTGCTAGTAATATTTATTTTTTAAAAACATTGTTGGTAATATTTTTTTTCAAAATTGTATTGCTGGTAATAGTTTTTTTTTCTTCAAAAATTTATTGCTGGAAATAATTTTATTTTTTTTTACAAAGTATTTCTGGTATTAAAACCTAACTTTACATTTTCATAGTGTTTTTACCCCAGTTTCAGGGTTAACTATTTGCCCATAGCTGAGACCCTAGCAGGTGTTACCACCCCAGGTCAGGGTGGACCTGGGAACACCAGCAATTAAGAGGTAGTTCCACACTCCTCAAAACCTCCTGATCAGAAGCCTTGCTGCTGGATGTAGTTTATCATCATATCCAGGACGGTTCTTGCTTTTAATGCAAATAACTGGTACTTGGTTTCTAAGACAGGAATGAAAAATCATACTGGCAATTAAAAGCAAACATTTTATGGGAAAAATTTATTGAAAATACATATCACATAAATGAAGTATCTGAAAAGCAACAGAAGTATCTAATATCCAAACTAGTTGGCATTTGAAGTCAGCTTTTGTAACTGACCTCTGGCAGTCAACACTGATAAAACAGGATCTTCCTCAATAAACTGAGTGGCAGCACTTTACTGGACAACAGAAAAATATAATATTTATTTTTTGTAATACAAAAATGCGGCACAAGGCCAAAAGGAGAGATAAGGGAAGGCTGGTCTTCAATCTGTTTTAGCTAGCAACAATTAAAGACCCAAACATACCACAGTATTCCGCGCACCAAAACAACACATTCTTACTCACCATTCTTACTACTCATAATACCACAAAGTCTATGTAGTCCTAACTAGTTCCCATATGTAATATTTGTGTGTTTAAAAGTGAATATTTACAATGAATACAATTTATATACAAGAAACTAAACAAAAATAGTGTTAGTAATAAAACCCCTCACAATCCTTAATTGTGGCAGAAAAATCAGTTAACTGGAAAAAAAATGTGGACTAGGTAAATAATAACAATCATTCGACCAATCACTCACTCAAACACACACTCATCCAAACACAAAAACAAATACGAAATACACACTTGAAAAATGAAAAAGGCCCTGCATCTACCAGAGAACCGACATCTCTGTCCCCTAACAGGAGAGGAGAAGGGGAATTAAACTAAAGAAAGTGGGAACTGAAATAAAAGAGGCTAATCAGCATACATCCCCTAGCTAAGTTAACTTGATGGAAAAAATTAAAGATAAAACAAAGCTAAACAGCCCTATTTTGGGTGGGGTTACCAATGTTCAATACAGAGTTCCCAATATTCTGATGTCTAACCTGCATCAAAATGCCACTTCAAGTTGGTTCCTTTCCCTTGACACAGGTACACAAAACTCACCCACCTTTTGCCAAATTCTGATGGAGGGAGTCATTGCCTTTCTGTCGTAATCTTGACTTTACAAGATCAGTTTGGAAGAGGTAAACTTCTCATCCCCATAGAATTCCTTCTGTCGCATCATCCATATCATGATTCTCATAACACCTAGCAAGCAAAAGAACACATAGTGCTCAGCCTTAGTTAACGATGGTACAACATTGCTACAAACAGAACTGGCCTCAAGGACAAAGAACTTTCCATGCAGCATATAAACTATGATATCCTCCATAAAATGAATAACAGGACTATGATCCTGCAGTAAAAGAAGGTGCGAACCAGGGTCTTCACTGACTCACTGCAGCAAATGCAGTTTGGAATTTTTCCAAGCCTGCCAAACAAAGTCTTTTGCCGATCAAGACAGCCTTTCGTATCACCAGCCAGGTAAGTGATGCCTCATCATTAATGAGGTATTTCAACTTAAATATTTTACTATTTATCCATATTGTAAGAAACTTTCAGATATGATTCTCAGTATGATGAGAATAAACAAAGAAATGTTGATTTTGTTAATACGATGGAACCTTGGTTCACAAATTTAATTTGTTCCCAAAATGTTTGTAAATCAAAAATTTTCCTTATAGGAATCAATGTAAAATAAATTAATCTATTCCTGGGACCCGGATTATTGCTTATTTAAACTTTAAACAACAGTACTTTGTGCACAAGTTCATTCACAACAAAACTAATGAACATCATTAAATCTAACACAATACTAATCACATAAAATATGGACGAAAACTTAATTTAATTTTATTTACCTCTACAGAGGTGAGTTAATGGCTTAAGTGGAAGGTAGTGAGGAAGGGAAAGGGGAGAGATGTTATTGTTTGGAAAGGGAGTCCCCTCTCATAAAAATATCAGGTAACTGTATTTCTGGGGTTTCTTCCCTTTCTCTTTTCTGTCTCTTAGCACCATTCGACTCTACTTGAGAGTCACTCTCACTAAAAATTTGTCCAATGAAATTTATTTTTGTCTACATTTTAAAATGTTTCTGAAGTAAGACAAGGTATTAGCATTAATTAATAATTTATAAAAAAAAATGAAATTCAACAGAAGACATGGTGAATTTGAGCAGGGATGTGTATGGAGCAAAAGCTACACACAACTAATGCTCACCCACCAATACTACTGGTTTGTCAATCCCATATTGTTGCCAGCTAGCGTGTTTGTCACTCAAAACAGCATTCTCCACCTGAGACTTTTTTTTCAGAAAATTTGTTTGTGAGACATTCCTGATCAGGTTCCACTGTATTTCAATGTTAATTTGCATCATCTTCAGAACAGCATGAATTAAAATAATTGATTGGATAGCTATAAGGTAGAGTCTATTCTGCACTGTCTACACACCTTTGTTTAGACAATAAGGTTACATACTGTTCAATGGTTGGCTACACCAAAAACATTAAAATGTTTATCATAGACATTTTTTGTGGTCACTCACGTGAATATAAACATTGTAATTACTGGAGAGTAAACCATTAAAATGATTACCATCAGAAAGAAGCCAAAAGAAAATATCACACCTATCATCTCAGACAATTACTAGTTAACATCGAGTTTTGAGAACAAGAGTGTTCTTTAGAGAATAGATGAGACAATCTTCAGTTAACATTATCCATTTTCAAAAGCATTGGCAGCATTATTGTATAGTTTCCAGTTTCTGGGATTTCAGTTACATGTGGTCAACACCAAAAATAAATAAATCATAAATTTTATTTAACAACGGTTATAAAATGTTAGAGCAGTAAGGCTATGAATTTGGATATGAAAAAAAGACACCATAAAGTGCTTCTTTTAACTAAAAAAAGATGAAAGTTCTCAATAATGAAAGAAAAAAGTATCTGCTTAGGTTATAGAGATCTTCAGTAAGAACAACTCTTCTATTCATCATAACATTTATAATAATATATTGTTATAATTTGTTTTAATTTTTTTTAATTAGTTATTATTGTTAATCTAAAGTACCGTATATACTCACGTACCATGTGACTTTTGAAATCCTAATTTTGAAGCTAATTTTAAGGGGGTCACATCATATACAAGATATAAAATTAGTGTATACTGCTGGCCCTGGGTATACCATTGACCAAACTATATATCCATTTACTATAGTCAAATTAGCTTCAAAATTAGGTCTTCAAAAGTCACATGATACATGAGTATATACTCAAATTAAAGACACCGACTAGATGTCATTCTACTCAGGACTATAAAAGGAAGGTACATAAACCCACTCCCTCTTTTTGCTCCAGGATGTGGTAGGTAGAAGACTTATCCAGACTTTCCCTCTGGGAAGATTTAGTCACATGGCAAGCTGACTTCTTAATTTTACTCAACTATGTGGCAAACTAAAACATTCTTTTTTTTTTACTTTTTGCGAGCTATCTGTATATATGTAAATATAAATTATTTTTCTTTTGTGAGCTATTTCATTCTTTATATAAATATATATGGGAAAACACATATGAGTTGAATTCAACTCTTTTGAAAATGTTGAATTCATTTATTTTGAAAGACAGCAACTGATGAGATCTGAACATCAAATTGTAGCAATGTTAAAATTTCCTTTATTGGCTTGCATTGAATTAACTTAATGATAAAGCATATTGACAATATTATGATTTCTTTTATTTGATTGCATTCAAATAGTAAATTAAAAAAAAGTAAAACTTCAAGATTTGCTACATCATATTACAGCAAATTAAATTTATATTTTATTTTTATAACAATTTTACTGTTCTAAAACAAAAAATAGAATATCAGAGTGCCACGTATTTCATGTTTTAGAAGTAAATAAAGGTTCAGATTGCTTAAAAAAAAGAGTGTTTTTCTGCTGAATTTCTAAGACACAGTTTTATTACTATTATCCATTGAATCTTTCATAAAAGATAAGAAAAGCTGTTCAAAAGAATCAAATGATAAAAAATGGGAATATTATTATTATTAGACTATAGAACATGATATTGAAAAACAAAATATTAGTAGTATCTAGTGTTATCAGCAGTAACATTCATATAGAAATCAAACTGACATGCACAAACAAGATGGCTTCAACCCATTTATATAGAAAAATAT